CTAAAAAAAATATCTGGATTAGCACCTGCCTTTCTATTGGTTTCGCGTATGGTAACTTATAAAGATATTATCCCTTGTGACGATTAGTAGGTGCTTTCGCCTTAAATGATTGGCCATTTCTCGGTTAGTGGTTTACCCTTGTGGCCACAAGCCTGATTCCAATTTGAATTCGCACTTAATTTTGGTCTCTTTGTATTTGGTTTTGGAGAATCAGACGAGGTGGAAAGGTGCTAGAGTATGTGTCACTATATTGCTTATTTTGAGTGTCTGCCACTTAATGTGTTAGGTATAAAGAATATGTCAAATTATTATGAGAACTACTATACTTCATTTTTTCTTTTCTTTGCTGCTAATGGACTCAATGTGTACAAATGGTTTCGATGGAATCATTTAATCTAACTTGACGGTCAATCCTTGTTTCAGGTCAAACTTCTTGGGAACGAAATTCATCATTTATGATACACAGCCACCCTACAACAGCTCACAGTCGTCACCTCCAGGCCGTAGCAAGAGGTTCTACTCCAAAAAAGTCTCCCCAAAAGTTCCTACAGGCAGCTATAATATTGCCCAAGTCACGTATGAGCTGAATGTTCTCGGTACACGGGGACCACGCAGGATGCACTGTGTTATGCAATCGATTCCGAATGCCTCTCTAGAGCCAGGTGGCATTGTACCAGGGCAGCCTGAGCTCCTCCCCCGATCTCTTGAAGACTCTTTCCGCAGCATGTCATTCTCAAAATCGATTGATACTAGCACTGAGTTCAGTAGTTCCCGATTCTCTGACATTATGGGCCCTCGTGATGACGATGAGGAGGGCAAAGAGAAGCCCTTGGTACTCAGGAATAAGGCCCCGAGATGGCACGAACAATTGCAATGTTGGTGTCTAAATTTCCGGGGTAGGGTGACTGTTGCTTCAGTGAAGAACTTTCAACTTATAGCTGCAACACAACCTCCTCCTGCTGGGGCACCAACACCTTCTCAGCCCGCGCCATCATCAGACCATGATAAAATCATTCTACAATTTGGAAAAGTTGGCAAGGATATGTTCACCATGGATTACCGGTACCCTCTCTCTGCATTTCAGGCATTTGCAATCTGTTTGAGCAGCTTTGACACTAAATTGGCATGTGAATAGTAGGAAATCAATCGGTGGCAATTAAAGCTGAAAAAACTAGCAAAAAAATCTAAAAAAAGTGTTGAGAACATTTAGCAGGTCATTAATCACAAGGGTTTTTCATCTTAGGGTTGATTAGCGTTTGTGTCTTTGAAAAAAGTCATTTGTATAACCTTCGATCAATGAAAAGTGCATTGAAGGATAACAGAATCGTTGATAATGCATCTGTTTTCATTCTCTTCTATTGTAATTCTATGCACTTTCACTTGTAGATCGTCGTTCTCTGTTGTTGAATGTTGTCTTATGATCTGTTGTAACAAATAGTGCCAGAAAAGGTTTCGAAATTTTCTAGTAGTCTGTAGCTCTATCGTACAATGTAGTTTCTGTAATTCTGTTTATTGACTAGCCAGATTATCGTTGTTACTGGCTCATAAAAGAAGAAAATTGCTCGGCTGATATCTTCTTGTGATTATTGTTGTGCTTATCGTGGTAGAATCGAAGTACAATATGCAAGTTTTGATCTAAAGTTCTTTGAAGTTAAAATGTCAATGAATGTGCCATTAAATTTTTTCAAAAAGTTAGAATTGACTTAGGTTTTAACCTGATCATATGACTTATGATTGTGAAAAGGACCAATCTTAATTAATGTGCTTGCCTAATGAAGTAATGATTTTACCATTTCTTTTTCTTTGAACCACTTAATAATATTTGTGGTTAACTTTTTATTTTTGGAGAGAAAAATCTAAGTAGTTTGCAATTTAGTCAACAAATTTTATAGGTAAATATTAGGTGAAAGATGTTGATTTGGTCCATTTTTATCCCGTGTATAGAGTTGGACATCTTTATGCAATTTGGTAGTTTTAAATAGGTTGGGTATACTTTTCATAAAGAAAACAAATAAAAAATTTAGAAGAAAGAATGAATTTGGTGGAAAGTTCTCTTAGTTTAGCATCAAAAAAAGTTTAGCATCAAAAAAGCAATTTTGTGATTGAGTCTAGTTTTGTTAATTACAAGTGGATTTTTCTAGATGAGTAAGATGATCTGATTTTTAAGAATTAAAAAAAGCAAGTAGCAAGCTACTGGTGGGATGTTGATGGAGGAGTGCACCTTTGACCTCATGTATCGTACCCTTTGAGCGTGTGAAATGTTTGTCAATAGCATACAAGTCAACGTATGTGGTGCACTTGTTTAAGAGTGTGATAAGAATATAATCAATCTTGAAATTTCAACCATAAACCTAATTTTTTTTTGGTCGAATTGGTTACGTAACATGGTATTAAGTCATTAAGAGTTAGCATAACAGGGTTATGTGAAAGGTTTCAAGCTGAAAGGACTATAATGAGAGAGAGTGGATAATTTTGGGCTAACCATTAGCTTAAAATGTTAGTATATAAGGCTCTCAATGTGATAACCTTTAGGATTGACCTAGCTAAATCCGTGAGAGGTGCCAGTTCAGTAAGGTCCTTTATCTTACCTTTAAAAGAAATAAAAAAGGCTCTCAATATATTTTTCAGCATATCAACGTATAATTGGACATCTAGATCTATTCATTATCACAATCATGCAATGACAAGTCACAAGTGCACTAGTTAAATCGTTGCATTTTGCCTCAAAATGAAGATGGATTGAAATTCAAGGGAAGTAACATTTCTAAACACCAAAACTGGAAAGAAGTTTGACCTGAAACAAGGATAGACCATCAAGTTAGGTTAAACGATTCAAGATGCCTAATTAAACGGTTTCTAAATACACTTGTTTCGAATTAGCTTAGCTTGTTATTACTTATCTTAAATTCTTAATACTGATTCAAGATGCCAGATGCCTAATTAAGATCGTTTTGTCCAAACACTTATATAACTTAACATGACCATTTTAATCCAATTATATCCTTCAACATAACATGTAATTACAACGAATAAATACAAGTATTAAAAATCCGAGATGATTCAATTTATATCAAAATTATTTTAACCTATGAGTTCAAGTCGAGCACCAACCCGTTACCCGTGATTGCAAGCAAGAATAATCTTTCCACGCACCTAGGCACACGTAATTGTTTTATTTGTTGCACAATTGCAAATAATTTGCTATGCTCCAAACATGGTGTTTAGTGCATATATATAAAGTCATGTGCCAATAATTTTTCAAACTTTTCTGCACGTTAGACGTTACTCCTAAATCTGCAAGATTCAATCTTTTTCAGTGAATCTTAGGGTAGTCAGGGTCCATTAAAGTTGCAGGCCTTTAAATTCGGGCCTTTAGTTTTTTTGGCCCATTTAATAAAAAGGGTAGTTTCTAGTCCATTTATTTTACATCCATAAATTAAAGTACCTCAATTATAATTACAGTAGGGTACATAATCTGTCAAAAAAAAAAAAGGGTACATAATCTTACGACGTATTACATAAAAGAAAAAGCATACAACAAAGCTCAATAAGAGTATAACTGTATAAGACATTGATATATTTTTTAAATTCACATCCAGTACATTGATACTCCTTAATTTAGAGTGTTTATTTGATTTAGAGTGTTTAAAACTAAAAAATGAATATGCTAAGACGAATGTTTTTTTTTTTCTTTCCTGTAGAAAGCTAGTACGTATTCCTTAATTTTTAGCTTCCAATTCAATAAGCCAAATTCTGGGCATACTTACAGAGTTACAGGAAACCGGTAATAAACGAGCTGAGAGCTGTGTTCGCGATTGTATAACATACTTATGTACATTGTACTACGTATGTTTTTCGAACAATTTTAATTACTTGGCATCATCATTGTTTTTCAAGCAGTTGTATAAATTCATCACAGAGTTTCATCAGTTTGTACTCACTGAATCAAATTTCTTTGCTTTTAATTTGTAAAATCTGTCACTCAGATTATCAATATGAGTGATAAAGTTAACTTCTTTCTAACTCTCACAATCAGAATAAATCAAATGGAGGCGCAGAAGAATTGTTTTGGGGCTCTCAACCCTACAATGATTCTCATTGCAGTATATATATCAGAGTATTTACAATACAGACAAAAAACCACCAGCCCATATTTACAGCAAAGCACAAAACACCTATACAACACACCCTACAGCTGTACAACAAAACAAAAAAACAGCTTTACATATTTACACACCGAGGAAGTACTAATATAGGTTTGATATGTATGTGCAAATACATATCAAACATTAAAATATTGAAAAGTATTGTAAAGCACATTGGGGTGGGAGAAAAGGAGGAGAGAGATGGGCACGTGAGACCAGTTTTAAATGTACCACTGAAAGCTTATATAATATCATTGACTATGTAGTGATTCTATTTTTACACGTAGTTAGTACCACTGAATGAATATACAGTACCATTGAATGAATATATAGTACCACTGAATGTTCAATGATACTATTTGATCATCTAGTGATACTATTAATCACCCAGTGGTACACTTAAATTCAGCACATGGGGGTGAGAGAAAGGAGGAGAGAGATGGGTAAATTTCATGCGAAATGTCTATTATGCCCCTTGATATGTATGTCCAGGTACCTATCAAACCTCCCTTTAGAAGGCCTCCCTTTACACACCTAAATTCTACACCCCCCTGTCAAGTTGGGCTTGAGACAAACTTACAAGTCCCAACTTGCAGCACAGAAAATCATGTTGCTGTCCAGACAGAGACTTTGTGAGGATGTCTGCTAGTTGAAGTGTAGATTTAACATGAGATGTAGAGATAAAACCGACATCTATGTTTTCCCTTATGTAATAGCAATCCAATTTCAGATGCTTGGTCCTTTCATGGTAGGCTTGATTATGTGCAATGTATTCTGCGGATTTATTATCACAAAACAAAGTGATAGGTTGAGGTATATCTTCATTAATATCCTCAAGAACTCCTGCTACCCAAGCTAACTCGTAGTCTGAGACATGCTTCTTAATTCAGCTTCACAAGATGACTTTGACACCACCTTTTGCTTCTTTGTTTTCCAAGAGATCAAGGATGATCCCAGAAAGACACAGAAACTAGTTAATGATCTTCCACTATAAGCACAAGTTCCCCAATCTGCATCACTATAGCCAATCACTATGTGATCATTTTGTTTAGGATAGAATAATCCTAAATTCAGTGTTCCTTTCAAATATCTTACAACATGTAATGCAGCCTGCATGTGAGGTTTTCTTGGGCAGCCAACATACTGACTTAGTTGCTGTATAGAGAAAGTCAAATCAGGCCTTGAGAGATTAAGATAAAGTAGCCTGCCAATCAGCCTTCTGTATGACTCGGGATCTTCTAACATCTCTCCCTCATCCTTTGTCAACTTTACTCCCTTAGGGAATGGAAATGTAGTAGTTGTTCCATTTTCCATCCCTACATCCTTCACAATATCCATAGCATACTTCCTCTGATTTATCATAGTTCCCGCATTTCCTCTTGCTACCTCGATTCCCAGGAAATATCTCAAATTCCCAAGGTCTTTTATGGTGAATGCTTCATGCAAATGCTTCTTCATTTATGCAATAGACTTCTCATCATCTCCGGTCAAAATTAGATCATCCACATATACAAGGATTATGCATGATCTTCCATCTTTCTCTCTGATAAACATTGAGTTATCTCTCTGACATTGCCTGAAATGATGATGTTTCAATAGCTTCTTTAGTTCAATATTCCACTGTCTAGATGCTTGTTTTAACCCATATAGGCTCTTCTTTAACTTGCACACTTTTCCTTTAGACACCCCCTTGTACCCTTGAGGCACCTTCAAATACACTTCTTCCTCTAAAATTCCATGTAAGAACGCGTTATTAATATCCAATTGATGCATCTTCCAATTCTTTGTTGTTGCCAAAGCAATGAGAATTCACTACAAGAAAAATCACTTTTCGTAGCGATTATTTCGTAGCGATTGTACATTCGCTAGAATATGCAAGTATGTTTGTGAAATAACTAAGGATGATGTATCATTTTTTCAATCGCCATGGTTTTCCCATATAAAATCGATACGGAAAACATAATAATACATATACACACTATTTTTACACATTTATATAATTTTGAGAAATCGTATCATTTACAATCGCCACTAAATCCTAAAAATCGATACGAAAAGTCTTTTCAACACTAGATATATAAATATTGTTTGACAAAGAGTACATAAAATATGTCATAGCTTATTAGTGAAACATTTAATATAAGAGTTTGAGGTTGCATGTTCGAATCTTACAAAGATCATACGCAAGTTTTTTTTTTTTTTTTTTTTTTTTGAAGAAAATGAGTTAAACATTTATAGCGATTGTAATCGCTACAATAATCACCACGATTGGATGTAGTTTTTCATATCGATTATTAAGGCCAACCCTAGCGATATTGAAAACCACTACTAAAGGCTAAGGCAACGGGGGATATTGTATCAAATGACCATTCGTTGGGAAAGCTTTTTGTTGCAATTACAATCGATACTAAAGGTTAAAATAATCGCTACGAAAAGGTTATTTTCTTGTAGTGATTCTCATAGTAGCAAATTTTGCTACAAGAGAAAAAGTGGCTTTGTAGTCTTTTCCGGCAATTTGCTTATCTCCTCTTACAACAAGCCTTGCTTTAAGTCTCTCAATACTCCCATCTGGTCTGAATTTTATTTTGTACACCCACTTTGTATCAATGGGTTTATGCCCAGAAGGTAATTCCACAACTTCCCAAGTTTCATTTTTCTCAATAGCAGTTAGTTCTTCTACCATTGATTTCACCCATTCTTCTTCTTTTGCAGCCTCTGCATAGGAATATGGCTCCTTTACTTTCATGACATTATTCAAGGAGATTTGATAATCTGTAGTATAATACTGCAAATTATCCAAATCAGTATGAATAAGATTTGTGCTTGCACTTGTTCCACTATCCCTTCTGCTCCTCTTTTTAAAGTACTCACTTTCATAATCTTTAAACTTCATAGAAACTCTGCTTTCTCTTACTGGCTTTGCATGAATCTCTGAACTTTCTATGTTTTCAGCTTGTATATTCTGAGAAATTTCCTCTTGAACTTCTCCACTCTCAATCTCATCTGTCAATTCTACTGGATCTTGTTCTGATTCTACACCTTGTTCTTGTTGTTCATCTTCTGTACTCTTATTGAACTGAATGTCTTCTTCTATACTTCCAAGTTCCTCACCATGTTTTGTTTCCGGCACTATTTCTTCGCTTTGCGGAATCTTATTAACTTCCTTAGCAGATTTCTTAAAAGGAAATATATCTTCTCTAAATATCACATCCCTGGATGTAAATATTCTTCTAGTCTCTACATCTAACAACCTATATGCCTTTTGTTGAGCGGGATATCCCAAAAACACACATCTTACTGCTTTAGCAGCAAATTTGTCACCTTTTCTATGTGTGTTAGTGGCATAACACAAGCACCCCACCACCCTCAAATGGCTATAATCGGGTGTCTTCTTCATAAGCTTCTCATACGGAGTCTTCCAATCAAGATCAGAAGAAGGCAGCAAGTTTATTATATGTGTAGCTGCTAACACGCACTCTCCCCACAGGTTATTTGGCATTCCTGCATGAATTTTAATGGCTCTTGCGGTTTCAATCAAGTGCCTATGCTTCCTTTCCACTCTGCCTTTTTGTTGTGGTACCCCTGCTACACTTCTCTGGTGACAAATACTTTTTACTGTAAACAACTCTTTACATTCTCCCTTAAGAATTTCAGTTCCATTATCACTTCTCACCACCTTTACAGTGGTATTGAAATGATTTTCAATGTATGCTAAGAAATCTCTAATGACTCCTTTAACCTGTTCTTTGCTGTACAACAAATGTGTCCATGTTGCCCTGGAATGATCATCTAGGATTGTTAAAAAATAAGATGCCCCTGTAATAGCTTGTGTCCTATAAGGACCCCGCAAGTCTATGTGCACTAGATCAAAAATTTTATCTGCAATAGAGCTACTGGGAACAAAAGGCACTTTATGATGTTTGGATAAACAACAAGTGTCACAAAAATATTCTGATAATCCCTTACAATCACAAAATGACAAACGCTTCATCTTTGAAAGTGAAGTGTGTCCTAATCTCTCATGCATCAATCCAATATTCTTTCCGGAATTACAACTCAAAGCAACCTTGTTACAATTTCCTAATCTCTTATCATCATCACTAGCCTTCTTTCCTTCTCCATTCAGCTCCAACTTGTATAAACCTCCACTCTCTCTTCCATATCCGAGTGTCTTCCCCTTAAAAGGGTCCTGAAACAAACACCCACCATCAGTGAACAATACCTTCACATTTCCATCTCTTACCAGCTTACTGACAGAAAGTAAGTTGTGCTTAAATTCTGGAAAATACAGAACATTTTTAAGCACTATATTTTCACTTAGCACTATTGTTCTTATCTGTTTTACCGTTCTCATAGTCCCATCAGGTAATCCTACAGTTACACCTCTACTCAAATCTTTCATATCCTTAAAAAACTCTCTACAACTAGCCATATGGTCAGATGCACCTGAATCTATTATCCAAGATTCTTTTCCAAAAACTTCATAATGTGAATATGCATTGAGAGTAGACAAAATACCTGCAAAGTTGCACATATGTCTTGTACCTGAGGTACCAGCTCCTTGTTGCTGTTTCTGATTCATCGCCCTTAGAACTTCCTGCACCACTGCATTAACCATCTCAGCATCACCCTTTCCCATCTTGTCTTCCATCACTTGGTTCTCTGCATCCAAAGGAGTCTCCTGAATTGTTTCTTCTATGGAAGTGCTCACATTTGCTGCATATCTTCCTCCCTTAGCTTCCTTAGGTCTCAACTTAGTGTACCAATCAGGATACCCATGCAGCTCGAAGCAATCATCTTGAGTGTGCCCTGTGAATTTGCAATATTCACATCTTTTCTTGCTCTTCTCCTCTTTTTTTTCTCTCCTTTGATAGGTACTATTACCAAATCCGCTCTTCAAATGAGGGTACTTGATTTGTTGCTTAGACGCCACGAGTGCACTTGCTTCAACTCCCGACTCCATCATCCCAGATATCTCTTTCTGCTTCTCAACTTGTAAAACCATCTGATATGCCTTATTAACAGTTGGCAAGAGATCCATTCCTATGATATTTTGCTTGAGATTATCATAACCCCTATTTAATCCCATCAAAAAATCGATCATCTTGTTTTTCTCATCTCTCTCAAGAAGTTTTTTCAGCATATTACATGAACACTTGCTCATGGAACCACAACTACAATCAGGAAATCCCTCAATACTATTGATTTTATCCCAATATCCCTTAAGTTTTCCATAATATTCAGACACACTCATATTATTCTGTTCTAGATCACTTAACTCTTTCTTAAGCATATATATTTCTGGTGCATTAGATTGTCCATACATCTCTTCCAGAGCATCCCAGAATTCCTTAGCTGAATTCACCAATAACATTTGCTCTGCTATAGTTGGTGTTACAGTTGCAGACAACAAGCATCTCAACATATAATCATTTCTCGTCCATTTATCATAATCAACAGATTTAGGGTCTGGTTTAGCAATCTTACCTTCCAGAAAACCCAGTTTGTTCTTAGCTCCAAGAGCCATCCTCACACTTCTACTCCAGTTGTTGTAGTTCTTCCCATTGAAAATGATGCTTCCAAGAGGTGTGTTGAAGTTGTCTGAACTTCCCAGGTAATACGGGTCTGCATATGGAATCACCACGGCCCTTTCATTTTTATCTCCCTCCATGATAAAATGTTATCAAAAAAACCAAAAATTATGATGTCTGTAAACAGATCCTGAGATCCTTAAGCAAAAGATCTAATCTTTGATAAAGATTCAATCTTTACCACTATCACAACCTGGTAATCCTTGATAAAGATTCAATCTTTACCACTATCACAACCTGGTATGCTCTGATACCATGTAAAATCTATCACTCAGATTATCAATATGAGTGATAAAGTTAACTTCTTTCTAACTCTCACAATCAGAATAAATCAAATGGAGGCGCAGAAGAATTGTTTTGGGGCTCTCAACCCTACAATGATTCTCATTGCAGTATATATATCAGAGTATTTACAATACAGACAAAAAACTACCGGCCCATATTTACAGCAAAGCACAAAACACCTATACAGCACACCCTACGGCTGTACAACAAAACAAAAAAACAGCTTTACATATTTACACACCTAAATTCTACATAATTTATTGTGAGCCAAAATTTAAGCCTACTCATAAAGCTGTGTAGACACCCATTTGTGTCTCCCCAAAACCAAACCCAGTGATGAGTACCTTTCGCGTCGAATCATAATCGAATGAAACGAAAGTGTGGAAAGGTCTAGTGTTGCGGAAAGTTTTAATTTCTTTTCTCTTTTCTCTGTTTTTAAAACTTTATTTTTAAGAAAACAGCCAATCAAGTTTGGTTGGTCCATGATATGGGTCCAATAGTAGTGTAGTTGGATGGGGCTTGCAAATACCTTTCCAACGATATATTATAAGCCCAATTGCGATGAATATTGAGGAAGTTATG